GAGGCAAAAAATACGAAAAGATTAGGAAGACCATGAAAATAAACACAGACATCATCACATTACATAGTCCAACGTAGAATTATCATAGTACTGGTACATGATTTTGACAAACACTATCCAAGGTGTTAAACAAAACAACAAATCTTGGACAACCATATATTCATAGTAGTACTGCTTGATATTTTTGAAACCCCTGGATTGGATAATATTTTATTACAGTAAAGAATGAAAGGGTTAAGTTAGGCCTGCTTCATTTAATACCTTGAAGTATGTTCACATCTTAGAAACCAAGATTAGTTGATTGCTCTTACCCTGGTTTGCTTTAATTACAAACTCAAGAATTACTGAGACCAACACACTTGGAATCACGTTTTGAAGTTTGAAATTTTCATGTGAAAACAAATGTTGCCCAGGAGATAGCAAAAAGTAGTTCAATGCCCCCCCCCCACTCCCCAAATAACTAGAGAACGAGCATTTTCACATCTGTTTCTACATAGATTGTTTGAATCCACACTTATTGTCCTGGTGTGAGGAAGCCCTCAGGCTGGCTAACCTTCATTTACCCTCCATCAACTAACCCTGCCAGGGCATTCTAGCATGGGGACTTAGAGTCCAAAATTCAAGAGATCATTACTGACTTGACAGAAGTGCCAAAGTTAGGCATTGCCATACACATTACCCCCCCCCCAAAAAAAAAAACACAGAAAAAACACATTCTATTTCTACTGTGTTACCATAGAAACAATCAAAATATGAAAATGCACTGGGGTAGAGACCTGTTAACTATAATTTGTCTATTAGGATGTGATAAAATATTTGTTCATACATGACGTAATAAGTTAGATCATGTGATCGCAACACAGGCCGCATTGAATTTACTGAACAAGTGAATAGTGTGTATGAAGTAAAACAGTGTGTATGAAGTAAAACAGTGTTAGCCTGCTTAGTTGAAAGTCAAAAAGGGAAGTCAAAATTTATTACATTGTATCTATTAATTGAAGACTAAATAACAAAAAATAATGTTAAAATCAATTACATGTTATTGAAATCAAACCTGTTACATGAAATTAGTGTCCACACTGTTTACTAAAGTCTGCTTAAAAAATGAAGCAAATTCAATGTACTGTATGAGCTGTGTTCAAAACAGGCTAATGTTCTAAACCCTATTAAAATCAAAGCCTTCTTTTTGTGCTTTACATATCAGAGTAAAAAACAAATACTTCAATGTTTTAAAAATGGCAAAAAAGTGCAGATCAATGTGACAGTTATGTCAACTAATGAGGTAGGCAATATTGTTATTACCGGTACATGTAAATACTCTAACAATACATGGGGGATTGTCACTATATTTAGAAGGTAGCATCAGATAATACAGTACTATTAAATGGTAATCCCCACAAGTACATATGAAAATACACTGTACTCCGAAATGATACTTTTAGGTTTTTTGGTGCAAGATACTATAATTGTATATGGCATATTTTATCAAATGACTGTTACGAAAAATATCAAAGGATTTCAAAATATTATGGATTTCAGCAATTCAAATTTAATTAACCTTTACAGCATCAGACTTCTCGCCCAATTTTTTGCAGACTATAAAGAGAACTATTTTGTGAATTTGTGATGAAAGAGGGAACAGTTGCTGAATAGGTTAATCCATGACAACACAATTCAAAAGCTTTGAAATTCAAACAAATTCGATAACTCATCTTAGGATCAG